TTTCAATTCGTATGGTGCTATAGAGTCGAATTGATGCAAGTCAATGCTACCTCCCCCCTTTTGCTAAAATAGTAGAGCAAGCGCGGTGTTACAATTTAGTACTCAGCCTCCATCTGTTGGATGAACAGATAACTAAGTACAGTTGCTCTCGCCGTCGCTTTTTGTGCTCGCAGTCTTGCGTGGTCTTTCGTTGACCTTGAGCGTGTAGAGACAGAATTATATCTACCTAATTTTTTTACCCTTCGGGCCATGTCATTAGCAGCGTGTCAGTAGTGCTGTTATGGTGCTGATAATGTGTGTAGCATTGTGACCTAATCTCGCTTTTCGAGTTACGGTTCTGTAATTGCTGATACGTGCGTTGTTCTTGGACTGGGGCTTGTTTCCTGCGTAACAATGTGAGGTCTCCCCTTTTTAACAATGGAGACAACAAGTGGGTCAAATTAACGTACGTTTAAACAGTGACTTCAAGGAGTGCTTACGACACATACGATTCTTCTTACGCTGAAGTTTTGAGGCCAAACATAATCGTCCCTTATTTCATCTGTTCTGCAGCTCTGAAGGTAAAGTTCTCGCTGGGTTTAATTTATTAGGCGACACCCCTGGATCTTAAAGATATAGGATGTGGCGATATGGACTGGATTGATCTGGCTCAGGATAGGGAACAGTGGATTATCATAAGCTGACGAGTTGGGTCATTTTGTGATTTGTGTCGAACACTCTTTTCTACAGTTGACCTTGATGCCTTATATGTTTTTGTAGTGCAAACTTTTGGTAAACACTGATTTGGTTGCTAGTCCAACCAGAATATCTTTGTTTCTCCTGCAGTCTTTCCAGCTATGTTATTTATTTTGCCTGATGAATTTTTCAAGCAAGGGAATTCATGATAAATGTAGTTTTTAAATACTGAGGTATGCAGCACAAGTCAGGAACCCGCAAAATTGGTTCGATGCAAGAATCAGTAATTTAACAGTAATCTCGAGTTTCCCGAAAAAACATGTCATATATAAAAAGAATCTGCACATAATTTGAGCCATGTGTTCACACTGCATGCGCTTGATGATGCCCACAGCAATCGGCATTTATGAGGTACTTAAAAATGATTAGGATATGTATTGTCGCGTATTGGGCGTATAACGCGACAAATAACTTCACGCCGTATTTGATATAGCGAATTTTATTTCACATTCGCACTTACAATCATCCAAATTACAGATCTACGATTACCGCTATCTGCAGTATCACAAGTAGTACACTCCAAGTGCCACAATACAACTGGCTGGCTGCTGGCTAACTCGGAACTAACTCGGAGGTAGCTCGAGGACTGACTCGTAGGTAGCTCCAGGACTCACTGACTGGCTGTCTGACTGACTGGCCGTGAATAGCCTTCGCTGCTCCTTATGTAGCCTTGATCGGACAATTGTCGTCTGGTGCCGTGTTGCTAGCCACGCTGTCCGGAGTTGTTGACTGCTGCCTAGCAACCGCGATATCCCTCGGTGACGTCACCGCTGTTGATTCGCTTNAGAATTTTTCATAAATTCCCATTAATATTGGAAATCTTAGAACATTTTCGAGAATTTTAAAACATATTCGAGGATTTCCGAGTTTTTCATAAATTTTCTATAATTTTCGATAATTCTGGACAATTTTAGGATTTTTTTTTAGAATTTTCGGAAAACTCCCGGAGAGATTCCGGAAAATTTTCGGAGAATTTCCGAAAGTTTTCCGAAAATTCTCCGAAAGTTTTCCGAAATTTTCTCCGGGAGTTTTCCGAAATTTCTCCGAAAGTTTTCCGGGATTTCTCCGAAAGTTTTCCAACATTTCTCCGAAAATTTTCTGAAATTTCTCCGGAAATTCGTGAAAATTACAATCAATTTCAGTCAATTACAATGAAAATACAAACATATTCGATGGAATTCAATCAAATACGATCGAATTTATTAAAAAATATCCAAAAACAAAGAAATTCGATGAAATTCAATCGAATAGATCGAATTTATTAAAAAATATCCAAAAACAGTCAGATTCGATCATGTACAATAGAATTTAATCAAATACGTTGGCAGCAGTTGAGCACTCATGACGTCACGGCGGCAAAGTTGCCCACGCCATTTTGAGTTTGTCTGTGGTCAATTTCTGCCGCCCAGACATGGGATAGTGCATCGCGAATGGCGTACAAGCATTATGAATAGAAACCATGTGCATATTCAGAGTATTTGATGTTTTTTTTCGAGACAGACGTTTTAAACGAATGCGGCAGGTATTATATATATTATTGTAAGAAGTTGGCTGGTACCCACTAGCGTTTATGAGTTCACTCAAGCATGTGAAGAGGTATTATCGCATGCTGTATTGTCTTGCATGGATTTTTCATAAGTTTATGGTAATTTACGGCAGATATTCAGTGATTGTGCCGAGTGAAAACCACGCAATAATATATGTGTATGTTGTGTACATGAAGTGTGTCTCGAAATACAAATTTTGAACAGGGAGGTTAAGTCCATATATAGATAAAATTACTGGGGATGATCAGTGTTGGTTTCGACGTAACAGATCAACTACAGATCAGATATTTTGCATTCGTCAGATATTGGAAAAAAATTATGGGAGTACAATGAGACAGTACCTTTTTATCTCTTGAGTTAATATAACAAATGTGGTGGCATGTCAGTTATTTATTGTCAGTACACCTCTGCATATTGTGAACTTATTTGAAGATTTTAGTTTGCTTCCTTAAGCTCGTCATGTTTTGAAAGTTACTGTGAATATCAGACTGCAGGTTATGTTTCATACACTGTGGCATAAAACCTGGGCTCGTTACATGCTGAACATTAATTAAAATGGCGCAGTATATACCCATACGTGCTGTCTCATAATACGAATCATTTATTCAACTGTCCAAAATGTGTATCAGTCAGGCTGCTGAAACATGTTTCGTAGTTATTCGGCCAGCAGCAGTTTATTAGATTTTCTTTACCTCATATTTGTTGGCATAAGTTGCCTGCTGTGTTTCTTCCAGGCATCTTTTAATACATCAGACTTCACAAAGAATGTAAATTGTCATGTCCCAGAAGTCTGTTGTATTCTTTTATAATGTCATATTCATTGTTTGGTGTGAGTTAAAAATTGAATTTCATTGAAATGGTGTGAAGAGGTTTAGACCAGTTTCAATTAATAGCCCACACTATTCCTTGCTAGATGATCTGTGGGTGGGGGAAGTGTAGTAGATTATTGTGTGAATGTTGGAAGAGGAATGAAAAGGGAGACAGGGAAATTATGTTGGATTAATGAGATTTAACCCTATTTAACTTTTCTTATGAACGAACCCAACTGTTGCATAATTAGTGGAGTATGGTGGGGTACAGTGATTAGTGGATTATGGAGGAGAAGTTGAAAGTGCCAGCTATTTTTAATTCATGTTGTTCTGTTTCTGAGTTGGTGTAGCTGCAATCAAAAGAGTGACTCGGTCACGTGTTGACTGCAGTGGCAGTGCTGGGGGTAAGTGGAAGTTTGGAGCTTTGCAAAGGAAGAGTATGCAAGTATTTAAATCTGAGCAGTTGTTATTTTGTGGGAACTAAATTTTGAATGCATGGAGGCCAACATGAGACTACAGTGGTGCACTTGCAGTGCATCTGCACAGAAATTGTACTGAATATTTGGAGTGTGGGTTTCATGACCCCAAAAAGTGTGAAGTATAAAAATATATGATTTGTTTCACTGTACTTCCCCATTTAATTTAATTTCTGTTGGTGATTGTTTAAATGTGATGACTGTCTTTGGTGTGTGTGGCTTTTACTGAGTTTTGACATGGTTGATCACCTGAGCTGAATCTGTTGCATTCTGTGCTATATGATGTGTACCCTGGCAGCAGAAACCTTTCACTCTTTGTTATTTAAAGTACCGGCTTGCTGGAAACACGTAGAAGACAAATTCGTTGCTTTGTCTGAAACCTGGTGTTGCTGCTGGATCCCCCATCTTCGGCCAGAGAAGTGAATGCATTCCATTCTCTCTCAGCCTTTTACTTAATGTCCATTCCAATATTATTCTCCTGTATTCCAAGAGGTCTCTACCCTTGATGTGTGTCCAGTGAGCAGCATTTTTTATTAGCTACTTCCAGAGTACTTCTCTCTCACCCATGTCACACCTATCCTTTTGATCGATGAGCCTGATATGTGGTGAATACTACGTGTACATGTTATGAGTGCCCTTATTATGCAGTTACTGTCAAGCATTTTGTTAACTTCCTCACACTTAGCTCAGCCTCATTCATCTGTATGCTTCTGTTAGTGCGAGCAAGGAGTTTCCCACATCCACACAAAACAGCACAAGCATTCGCATAATTTAGTTAGCTCGTTTGTGAGCGTACTTTTTACTTATTACTGTCAATGCCAGATATGTGTACTTTGTCACAGGTGTCACATGCAGCTTCCAGCATTTTTGTATGCATAAATAAAGTAATTGAATGTGTTTGAGGTATAGAACAGAAACTCATTTGTTACATCAAATTCCAGTCCATATTAATATCTCAGGCTTTCTTCCTAAAGACATTCCAAATTGAAGTTGCAAGGAATGTCTATTCAGAGATTTGTTTTTGCATACATAAACCAGAAGGGAAGAAGGGTTTGTTGAAGGTTGCTATGTCTGCCTTACAAGAAGGACTCTGTTTGGGTGGGTCGGTTGGTTGCTGAGTCGAGTTCAAGGATTGCATATTAACATAGGAGGATGCAAAGGATTAGAAGGCAGTAAATTCCAGATGGTGATGGTATTTAAAACTGGAAACTGAAATGTTAAATTTCTTTAATTTCAGTCATGGAATTTTGTTGGCTGGTCATGTGGATATTTTGATGCAGTATGTGAAGGTTGCAAGATACGTGTCAGGCGTTTTGATTTCTCTCAGTGACACTTTGCCCAACAGTGTGTCTGTGTGCGTGCTCTGCTTTTTAAATTTGAAATTTTCCTTTGGATGTAATCAGTTTTTTATAGGGACATTTGTTTTATTTTTCAGTATGTTGTAATGGTTTTCCTGCCTGCTGAGTGTCTGGGAGGCAGCTGGTTGGAGTCTGGTGTGAGAAATCAGCTCCGTGTTGAGGCTTCCTGCAAATGATTTGAAGTGAGCACTTTAGAATAAGCATCACTTCCTTCTCTCCAGATTTTTGTAAGTCATAATTAAAAGGCAGATGGTATTTATTGTGCATAAAGGCTTCTGCCTGTATTTATTACCTTGTTATCAGTCAGACTATCAGTCCTCTTAAACTGACTTAATANCCTTAACCACTACTATTTGTAAATATGTAACTTGGAGCGGTATAGTTTTACGTTGGTAGACCCCAAGTGTTGATTGAGGACTTCCTGGAAGGATGCCGTTTGATGTATCCACCTTTTGCAAACGTTACTTTTGAATGATGTTACCTCCCATAAATTAGCTGGATAGGCTCTGTTCAAAATCTTGGGTTCACAGTGATAATTAATTTACCAATGAGATTCAGTTCTTATGCAGTTAGAATTTTTAAATCAAGAACGAGTTCTAAGAGTCCAAGCCACGAGGTAAGCTTGCATGGGTGACTTTATCTAGCCAGCATCATGAAGTTANTATATATATATTTTTTTTGTGTATTTTTGTCATAACTTATTTTTTGTGTTTATTAAACATTGTTATTTTTAATTTTGGGTCTGTCTTTGACTTCAATAATGATTCTTCGCTGCGAGCTTGGTTTCCCACGACGATCTTAGGGAGCATTGTAAACACGATGCGAGGGCCAGCGACGACAGACTGCTCCCGACTTCACCGATGCTTAGTGGTGGTAGGGTGAAGACGGGAGTAGTATCAGTTCACTAGAATTGTTGCTCTCTGCTGTAGTTTTCTCTTACAAATGTGCTATGAACAAAGGGTGAATGCACAAAGATGTGGCATTAGCCTGGGGCACCCAGTGTTCTGAGTTACACTTGTCTTTAATACTTACTGGACCAGGTCAGTAGAACATCTTGAAACATGAAACTGTACAATGAAACACTAAATATTTGTAGGAGTAGGAAAATGGGGCGATGCCAATGTAAATGCAGTGAAGTAAACATTGTTACCATATGACTTTTTGGGGGCATGTCTCTCGCAGTCTCTGGCAAAATGAACCTCCATACTTACAGTCTTTCCTGCCTACTTCTTCCATGTCTTGCATTTAGCTCAGTATGTGCAGTAAACTTAAAAAAACTGCAGTAGGGTTGCATCTTTTAGCAATTATGAAAGTAAGCTTTACAAGTGATTATCTTAGGTGATAGGATAATAGAAGTGAGGTCCTAACTTTATATTCAATTATTAATTAATTAATTACAAGTAATTCAAGTGCTGTCATGTACACATTTGCAATTTCATATTTTTTTTACTGACCCATAGAATTATGAAAATATTAGAATAGAACATTTTTCATTTTGCATTAATTACTATTATGGAATTTGAATCACATGACAGGATTAGTTCGCAGCATATTTGACTGTTTCAGAATGTTACAACTCAGTCATGACAAGGGTTTAAATTGAGTATCTTAAGGGTGGTGTTATGCAGTAGATTTACATGTTGTATAGCAAGTGTCATGTAACTTTGAACAAGTCCAAGAGTAACCTTGAATGCACAGAAGAAAAATTTCAGAGAAGGGGGTGGGTTTGAGGGTGTGAGAAGTGACAGGCGGCCAGTTGTGTGTGAGGCACAGTCGAAACAGGTTATACTTATGGTTTTTCTATCATCTGTTTGAAAACGTCAGTTTCCTTGAGCGCTAAATCGTACATAATGAGTGAGAAATTAGGTCAGGGTATAGGTCTACCCTCACAGACGAAGCAAGTAATTGCAAATGTATATAATTACTTAAAGAGACTAGCAGATAGTGGAGCTGCTGTATATTTGTATTATTGTAATATGTTCTTCGAAAAGAGAATAGGGTAGTTTCAATGAAACATGAGGGGTCGGTGAAAGTGGAAGAACAAGTGTTAAGAAACTGCTCCCACCACAAGCTATGCGTGGGATATGACTAGGAATGCAGGGCCTTGTTTGAAGTGATGTGACGCTGTCTATGCATGCTTTTGAGTCTTGACTGTCACAGGCTTTAATGGTTTTCCTTGGTACTCCAATCAAATGACTCATGAAACAGGACATGAGTGCCTTTTAAATATGTGAAAATTCAGAATAATCTTTCCATCATTGTATGTAGGTTCTTTGACGTGTTTCTGTGACATTCATAATAAGTTTACATTACAGTGTTACTTACTGATTAAAGGGTTGATTAATGTAATTATTGCCCCGAAACTACAGTGTAAGTTCTACATTGTATTTGAAGTGTAGGAGTAATAAAGGGGCCAATCAAAGGGGAAGCACAATAGATGGGTTGCAGTGCAAGGGTCAGATTGTGAGTCCAACCTCTCATACATTCATTCAAACTATAGTGTGGTCATGGCTCCTCTAGTACTGCTGTATACAGGATGTCCCAGGAGGAATGGACCAAACTTCGGGAGGGTGTTCCTTATGTTAAAGTATGCCGATATAACCCAAAACACCTATGTCCAAAGTTGAACGGTTACGGAGATAATGGCCAGAGAAGTGTCAAAC